GAAGCGCAATTTCATTAATATTACCAAAAATATTTATCATTTTCAAAATTAATGTGTAACTAATACGTAAAAAACAAAAGCATTTCTATGTACGTGTATCACACATACACACACGAACAGTGTAAAAATTATTCGTACTTGAAACGAATGATTGTTCATTGTTATCATATATGCACGTCATTATTACTACACGTTGTTCATGAATAAAAATCAAGTTATTTCAAAATACGATAAACACGTAATAATAATAATAAATAAAAATAAGAGAGACATGTATTGTCTTTCGTTCAATGTCGCAAGCAACTGGGCTGCACCTCACGATTGATTTCGCATAGCAGCAATTTTAATGATGGAGCCAGATGCAGCCAGATGGAGCCGGCTTCGAATCCAGTTCGATTCCACTCTCCAGAGAAATCCATGCCAAGAGCCGTGCGACGTAGATCGAGTGCCGCACTGAACTTGGAAAAACCCTGCCCTCGGACCGTCCGAGAACAAGTTGGACCTGCCCTCCATTGAGGCGCACTCCTTTCGTTTGCTCCACCACGCCAGCCGTTCTGACGCAGCGGAGCGTAACAGCGTGGGCCGCGGGAAGGCGGAGTGCTGCCGTCGGGTTGCGCCCGGTCCCGTGCAGGTTGGCCGAAGCCGAAAAGGCCCCATCCTCCACAGTGTTTCCACCGCTTGCGCATGTGATCGGGGCCCATCGAAATACTAATTCTTGTTCAGACTGTTCGACTTCAAGAAATCAGTATATAGGACTGCGGGTTAGTCGGCTGCCACGAGGCGTCTAGCGTTCGAAGCCTTGTCCTTAAGCACGGTCGAAGCAAATTTCCGGGACTCCTCGTAAAGTTGTTCGTTCGATACGAGACCAGCCTCATTCGCCGGCCATATCAGACTGACAGAAAGGGCGGCTCGCCTGAGGAGTTCTCTTGCCTCGTCGTACAAGGGACAACAGAAAAGTACGTGCCCGGACGTTTCCGGGTCGCCACATTCACATCTGTCGTCCTGGACTAGGACGAACTTCTTCAGCTTCGCACGGAAATCTCCATGTCCGCTGAGAAATTGTGCCTCGTAGTAGCCGACGTACAAGTCACGCTTAGCCAGACGGGATTTAATGTCCCGGAAGAAGGCGAACGTAGTTCTGCTCTTCTCCGAAGACTCCCACCTGGCCTGCCACACAATCAGGAGTTCCCCTTTCACCAAGGCCATTGCCTCGGTTACAATGTATACTCCTGATTCTAACTCTTCGCGAGTCACGCAACAATTTCCAAATTCGATTCGTTCAAGTTTCCGGGCACGGTAAGCGCACACACGTTCCGCTATTGTCAGGTCCACCAGTAGAGCCCCCGCAACCACAAGAAGTGCGTCGGTGGATACCGTATGGTAAGCCTTGACAACGCCAAGCAAGACCTGTCTCTGCGCTCGAGCGAGGACGTTCCTCGCAGTTGAGCTAAGACGGTCCGCCCAGCCCGCGGCGGCGTACGTTATGATTGGGACCAAGAGGCCTTTGTATAAAATACGCATGGCTCTGAATCCCAAACCCCAGTGAGCTCGGGCGATCCGTGCTAACGCACGGTTTTGGCACTTATATATTTAGCATGAGAGTTAAATCGCAGCCGTTCGTCGATATAAACTCCCAGATACCTTACAGTTTTCTTGGGAGTTATAGTCTTACCGTAAATCTTCACCACAGGTGGCCTTCTCATATCGAGGCAACCTTTCAAGATTACCATCTCGGTCTTGGCCGCGGATAACGTGAGTTTGTGCGTATTGCACCACACGCAAATCGAATCCGCAACCATTTGGCCAACTCGCTGCAGTTCTCTCCTCGAGTTGCCGAAGACAAGCACGAAGAGATCATCTGTATAGGCCAGGACTTCGCAAAGTCCGCTGTTCGAAAGGAGCTGAAGGAGCTCGTCAAAGACGAGGTTCCAGCAGCTCGGACCAAGGATGGATCCCTGAGGACAGCCCCTTGTAACTTTTTTACGCACACGAAGGCCGTGAGCGGTCATTACCACTTCACGGTCGGCGAAATAGTCGACAAGGAGCTCATAAAGATTACGGGGACACCTTCGGATTCTCAGTTGCTTGAGAATACTGGGCCAACGAACATTGTCGAAGACTCCGGAGATATCAAAGGAAAGACTCAGAACGTACTTCTCGTACGGACCGGAAACCAGCTCTCTGAGCTTTACCACGGAATCCTCCGTGGATCGCCCAGCGCGGAAACCGTATTGTCGATCAGAGCTGTACTCTGGGTGAAAGGATAAATCCGAAAGTCTTTTCACAATAATCTTCTCCAGAACTTTACCAAGTACCGAGAGAAGGCAAATTGTTCGATACGACTTGACCTCCGTTTCAGGTTTGTCGGACCCATTGAAGATACATATGATCGAGCCGACCTTCCATCTAACGGGGAACATTCCGCATTCCAGGCACCCGTTGTAGAGTTTTACTAGTGCGCCCCTGATATGTCGAAAAGCGTGTTTAACTACTTCAACCTCAACTCTGTCGGGCCCTGAACACTTCCCGCTTTTCAGGTCGAAAACCGCATTGTCAACCTCGCTCCAGGATCGTCCTCGGCCGGCGGGTCGTCGGCAGCCTCCAGCCCTACCAGCCTCTGTTCACGCGTCTCCTCCTCGGGCGAGTCGTCCGGGATCAACGTACTTAGAAGCATGGAGGCGGTGGAGTGTAAGTCAGTCGTATAACCGTCAGGCGTTCGAACGTTCGAGATAGCCTTTTCGATACGAAGCTTGTTCTGGGAGAGCTTGTATACAAGACCCCAGACGCTTCGATTCCCTTCCTTCGTCATAAAGTTACGCCAGGAGCGCAACTTCGCAGACCGGACATCAGCCGTGTAGGTCTTTCTCATAGACTGATACTCGACCTTCTTGGCTGCTTTCCTTTCCGGATCCCACTCCTTTTGGAAGGCTCGTCTAAACTTGTAGACTTGCCGTGTCCGTCGGGTCAGGTCCGGTGTCCACCAAGGGACGGACTTAGAGTGCCAACGCTTCAGCCGCATGGAGCTCTCGCACGCATGGATTAGAAGTCGTTCGATATCGAGCGCGAGAGATTCAACCTCCGCTCTGCAACTCGGTTGAGCGCGAGCGGGTAACGACTTCATCTGCCGAAGCATCGCCCGATCAAATTTGTCCCAGTCCGCTATGCGCGTGTTGAACCTCGGTAAAACTCATTTGATGAGATCCGCACGGTCGTTAGCGAGCTTGAGATCGAAAGTGATCGCCCTGTGATCACTGGCAGTCCAATTGTTATGGACCGTCCAGTTCACAATTTTATTGGAAATATTGCTTGTAGCAAGCGTGACATCAATCCAGCTCATTCCCCTAGGGCCGGAATACGTTGCGGCGCATCCCGGCTCGTTCAAGATCATCAGGTCGTGCTGGGCAATGAAGTCTAATAACTTCTCGCCTTTGTCGTCCATCACATGCCCGCCCCACAAAGGAGACTTGGCATTGACGTCCGCCGCTATCACGACCCGATTCGTGTCCAATCGTGCCAGCCCTGGTTCAATCTCTTCCGAGCATTGAAAGTACTGGCTGATGAGGTATTTTCGTTCGAATAGGCCACTTATGCAGACGCAGGATACATGCGTGTCACACAGGTGGGACAGTTTCATCACCGAGACCCCCAGGTTTCTGACGGCGACTGCCGCCATCACCGGGATGCCACCAGTGACTACGTTAGTCCTAACCCCAAGTCCAGGCACGTGGTCTTCGGTGTTTGAGTAGGGTTCCTGTGCGAGCATCGAATCGATTCCTTTGTCATGCATAAGCATTTTGACCTCGCCATACCCGGGACCGCCGCAAGTTATGCTGCAGGACCCGGAGCCTAGTAAGAGATCGCGTTCGAGTATTATCCATAGTCAGTTCTAGCTATGAGACGTTCGAGTGCGACTTTGTAAGTCGCACAGGCCTCCTTTCTAGACACATGCTTATGCTCCTTGCCCGCCTTTTTGCAGGGAGAACAAACACGAGGTTTGTCCCTGCTTTGGCAGGATACAAGGGTATGGCCTTTTTCGGCGCAGTGGCCGCATACCTCATCCGATCGGCAGTATTTCGCCACATGTCCAAATGCTTGGCACTTGAAACATTGGGGAACCTGGATGAAGTCCTCAAATCTGAGGGACCTCCACCCAATATTCACCCGATTTGCGTTCGAATTAGCTCGCCTCAGCCTGGATCGAATCTCGGGACTGACATCAAAAACTCAGTTGATGGCCTCTTTACTTTACTACCTTACTTACTTACTACCTAGCTTGGTCGCTTTACTGTCCTGGTTCTTCCCCTTGGGCGGAATCACGCGCACCATATTACGTGGAGGCTGAACCGCCTTTGGAGTTACTTTCGCGGTGTCCATCTTTACCGTATCGGCGTAGGTAACACCGCGCTCCACAGTTCTTGTGGCCGTCGCTGGCCGCGAAGTAGTTTCGAGGTTCCGGACTGCGCTCTCGACGGCCGCTTGAGAACGTTAAACGTCTCCGCGAGCCATCGCCAACTGCCTCTCGAGGTAGCTGTTCCGGAGAAGCAGCTCCTCGACGAGTCGGCTGATCGAGCCGGCACCCTCGAGAATTTTCGACCCTATCTCCTTGTTGACCTTAGATTCAGGTCGTAAGCAAAGAGTTTGCAGGGCCGACATCTCGGTGTTGGCGTCCTCCCTGATTTTCTCAAGGGGACGCCATTTGGGAACGGGTATCGCCGGCCTTTGTGCCGGCGACGCCTTCCCCTTCTCGTTCGATTTGCCATTCTTGGCTCTACTTCGCTTAGTGGTGACGGTTTTCCAACCGTCACCAGGTTGGCCATCGTTCCGTCGACTATGACTGTTACCGGAACCGCAGTCGTCGTAGCCGTCGAAGCCACAGCTATCAGAGCCGCAACAACAATGAAACTCGGAGCAGTGAGAGGTATGAAAATCGCACTGTCAATACCAATACGAGATGTAGTTTGAATCGCGATACGGACCACGACACAGGTCGTGACTCGAACCGCGACGTAGGCCGCGACACAGGCCACGAGTCGAACTGCGATACAGGCCGCGATCCGAACAGCGTCGCAGGCCGCGACTCAAACTGTCGTACAGATCGCAACGTAGGCCGCGACGCAGGTCACGATGAAGCCCACGATGCAGGCTACGATGCAGACCATGACGCAGACCACGATTCGAACCGCGATACAGATCGCGACCCGAACCGTGACGCAGGTCGCCACCCGAATCGTGACGCATTCCGCGACGTAGGCCGCAACGACGTAGGCCAGAACGTAGGTCGTGGTAACCCGAATCGTGATGCAGGTCGCGATGTAGGCCGCAACGTAGGCCGGGACGTCGGCCGCGATACAGGTCGCGACACGTGCCAGCTGCAGGAGGTATCGACCGATGATACGATTGATCGTAGAATCGGCAGAATGTCTATCGATCCGCGTCGGGACGATAATTACAGACAAACACGGAAGTTTGCAGAAACCGTTCTCGGACAATCGACTCCTGCTGCTTCTGTGCGACCGCGCAGATTAGAATTTACTACCGCTACGATCCTTCCTCCAAGACCAGACGTGTCGACGAGACAACGTAAAGGTGATCCAATTATACCACCGTCTTTGTATAACGCTGTCGACGCTGTTGACGCCGCTATGGCAGCTACCGCGGCTAAAGCTACTGGTATGAGTGTGAAAACTGCTGCAGCGATGCTGAACGCCAAAGAAACGTCAGCGTTAATTACAGGACCGTTGAGATACGCATTGATCATGAGCCCGTCCCATCCTGCTATAAATCTTCCTCAAATTTATACGTCACAGTTTACCACCACCGTGACACTGACTCCTCTGCTGTTTCCGTCGCTCCTGTTGTTCCCACTGCTCCTGTTACCGTGACGACGACGACGACTACTACTACTACGTCGACGATAACCAGAGAGCCAGTGAGAAGTGATGGTCGTACCGTTATCACGGTAGCTGATGTTCACCAGCCACCGTTTACCGGTCGTCGTGTCGGCGGTACCACTGGTGTAAAAAGAACGTCAAAAATGACTGGCACGAGGCCGGTGACAACGATCTTAACGACAGGCGTTCGTTCTGTTGTTACAACAGCTACTGCCGGTACCGTTCCCACCGCGACGGAAACAACGTCGACAGTGGCGAGGAAACCGATGAGAACGGCCACGGGCTTTCGTCCCGTCGTCATTCCGTTCGCTGACATACAGAGAAAAGTACCGTTCGTTGGTCGCAGTACCGCTGTTCCACCTGTGTCGACTACGTCGAGTTCGTCTACTGCTGTGTCTCGCGACGACGATATTGACGACGATAACGATAACACGTACGAAACATTCTCCGTTGCTAGCAGTACCGTCGTGAAATCGACGACAACGACGACGACGATGACGACGATGAGAACGACGACGAAGCAGCCGTCGACGCTGTTGCCTTCGTTGTCGTCGTCGTCGTCATCGTCGACGTTGATGCGTTTTAAATTGCCGACGGTCAGCAGACTGTACGCACGTCGGTTAATTCATTGCGACAAACGGATAACGTGGCGACAAATCGCCAATGGTCAACAGCTAACACGCTGTACGGCGAACGAGTTATACATGCGCGGTATTTCGTCAAATATATTGGATGTCACACCGTCGAACGCTAAATATATAACATTCGGCGACATGACGAATCCGGTGCGTACCGAAGACGGCGCTGTCGTATTTCCGAATCATCAGCAATTAATTAGAGTTGACGAGATAACCGCAGCCTTTCTGATGAGCCCCGGTGTGAATGCCGACTCGTTGCCCCCGTTCAACTGGGTCGGCAATCACTATCGTTGGATAGTGTGGAAGCTGGCTGCAATGGATCGGATAAAATTCGGTGATCGACATGATACTTTGCCGACGATGCTGACGGTAACTCGTATAATGAGTGAATTAAAATACAGATACCAACGAGAAATAGATATGCGACAGACGCCAGCGTTGAAACTGGTGTCAATGGGATCCATAGATGCTGCGACCGTTGCTGCCGCTAGACGCTTAGTATTGTGCGTATCATTCGTACAGTTCGACGAATCTCTAAATAACGTCATGTTGAAACTGACAGACAGCTGGTACAGCATTCGTGCGATACCAGACGCTCTATTGCGTCGTCATGTCGTTTCAAAACTTACCGTAGGTACAAAAATCATTACGTACGGTGCCACGTTGTCGCAACAGATAATCGACGGACAACAGCACCGTGTGCTTTATCTAAACGGAAATTCGACTCGAAGAGCGGCGTGGGACACGAAACTCGGGTTTGCGAGACCGTCGGGCCCGTTTACTATAAATCTAGCTACCATAGATCCGAACGGTGGTCTTATCGGTCGTGTTCGAGTAACGATCGTCAGGGTTTATCCGATCCTGTACTACGATCGTGTCACGAACAAGTATGAAAACGAACAATGTGAGAGACAAAAGGCAAACGCTGACCAGAGAACACGCGCTCGTTACATAGCCGCGTTCTATGCAAACGTCGAAAACGTTTTGCGTGGTAACGATACTGTTCACGGTAGTAGCAGCAGCAGCAGCATGTGGGATGAAATACGTTCGGCAGTGACCGAGTCGCGCGCAGAAGGTATCCTTCGTACAGAGGATGTGTACCGTCGCAACGAGGAGCGTGTATGCGAACGTTTAAATCGTCCGTTGGTCGATACTTTGCCGTCACCACGTAAAACGGAACAGGTGATCGTTGCTCGGATCGCAGACAAGACCACAAACATGTTTCTTCAAGTTCCTGTATCGTCATGCGTTTCAATGCTCGTCGAAGGAGCTGTTCTATCCATCAGCGATCTCAACATAAATACCAGGTAATTATTTTTAACTTATTCCCGTGTTTCGTCGCGTATATTTCATATTCGTGTATGTAACGTGTTTTGTTCACATTTTTTTGTTCTTTGCAGAACCTCCATGCTGACTGTCAGGGACGGTCGCGTGTTTAGTGGTACGTCTGTTAACGCAGACGAACAACAACGATAGCAAGAGCACCAACAGCATTGTCGTTGGTATCCACGAACGTTTACACCGTTGTCTGTAATGGAACGTTTCGTGAACGCAACGACTTCAGGGACACCGTACAACGAGGCTGACACGGTCGGTATCATTGTCCACGTTCAACGTCAACAATTACGAGTAAGTATTCTACGCGATGACGACGGCTACGATAGAAAAACATATATACGTATATTTTTATTCAATGTTTTTTTGTAGGATGTCTACGACGAAGTACACTTGGCGTGGCCGAAAATGTGTACACTATCATCTTCGTCGACGTTATCGTCAAGAATGAGATCGTCTACGTCGTGTATTATTGTATATTTTCCGGCAGAAACATCATTCTTTGGATACAGTAACATATTGACGGTGGGCACCGCACTAGCTTTCCGTAATTTACCTTGGCATTCAAGTCCCGCATTTAATAATAATGGACGTTGGTTTGCCAACGATATAACGGAAATTACGACNACGTCTGTTAACGCAGACGAACAACAACGATAGCAAGAGCACCAACAGCATTGTCGTTGGTATCCACGAACGTTCACACCGTTGTCTGTAATGGAACGTTTCGTGAACGCAACGACTTCAGGGACACCGTACAACGAGGCTGACACGGTCGGTATCGTTGTCCACGTTCAACGTCAACAATTACGAGTAAGTATTCTACGCGATGACGACGGCTACGATAGAAAAACATATATACGTATATTTTTATTCAATGTTTTTTTGTAGGATGTCTACGACGAAGTACACTTGGCGTGGCCGAAAATGTGTACACTATCATTTTCGTCGACGTTATCGTCAAGAATGAGATCGTCTACGTCGTGTATTATTGTATATTTTCCGGCAGAAACATCATACTTTGGATACAGTAACATATTGACGGTGGGCACCGCACTAGCTTTCCGTAATTTACCTTGGCATTCAAGTCCCGCATTTAATAATAATGGACGTTGGTTTGCCAACGATATAACGGAAATTACGACGAATCCGCGGTTTACGTACCTTGAAGTACCACTGAAAGCTGCGTCGCGCTGGATGACGGTAAGTAGAGTATAATGTATTATACGTGTTTCTATTACAATTGGCAACGATATCGACAATAGTGTATATTAATTGTTTTTCTGTCTTTCTTTTTTCATGTAATACCAGACCGTACGCCGGTACGCTACTGATTGTTGGGCAGACGTTCCTACGCAGGCAACAGAAACAGCCGCGCGTGTGTCACGTAAGGCGTGTATTTTTT